GCTCTTCCGCGAGCTCGTCGAGAGGTCGTCCGGCGACTCCGGCGACGACACCGTCAGCGTCGCCTGCGAGGTCGTCTTGTTCGAACACTTGCTTTGGATGCTCGAGAATGCCGATCCGCAACCGGAATCCTTGGACGAGCTCGTCGAGTTCTACGCTTGCTGAGAATAAGTAAAAGTAATTTCCATATATAAATTTGGATCGTATATATTTATATATATGTTTCTATATAATTCCATAGCTATATATATGAATTTGTGTATGAAATTGTAACTGTCCGTACGATGATCACTAGAATAATAGTGATGGTGGTTCTTGGAGGTCGTCCAATCGGTGTAAAAGTTGTACATTCTTGATCAAGAGATTCAATAATGGCTGGCATAATAGGAATATTTCAGATCGTTTCCTCTTTTACTAGAGAGAGAAAGTGAGAGAGAGAGAGAGAGAGAGTGAGAGAAGAGGGGTTTATTAGTTTTCTTCTGATTGATAAAGGCGTTATTTGAGTGAGTACATCGGACGGTGAGGGTTAAGTCGTGCTTAAATCTTGGCTTGATTGATGATCTGACGGCCAGCTGATGGAGATTTGTCTCTTTACTTTCTTTGTTCTTTGTTCTTTGTTCATTACAACTTTCAAGCTTTATTAATTTACTGTTTTGTCACCGAATGAGCTATCTTTTCAATTGCTTTTGTTATCTTTCACTTCATATATATATTTTTTCCGTTCGTGTTTTCTTCTATTCAAAGATTGAAAATATTATCATAAACTAAGTTGTGGAAATATATATGCCAAAATTGTCCAAACATATACGTGTTATGTTGAGCTAATTGGATCAAGTTGTAGCCAATTTTGATTTCATATGTCGAGTATCATTACGAATTACGACTGATTGATTGGTATTGCTCATAAGATTACAGCAAAGATTATTGGGGCCCCAGGATTAACTTTTCGCGAAAAGTATGATACATTTTGAAAATTTGAGACGCAATGTGGAACCAATTTTAGTCGTTGAAAAAAAGTTGTCAGCTTTTAACTGATTTTTTAACTGCTTAAATTGTTTTTATCATCTAATAAGTTAATAACTGAATTCAAGCTGCGCGAAACACTTCTAAAACTCTCTGCAACAATTTGGCTTCCCATGCAAAAGCCTCTTTTTAAAGGGAAGTGAAATATTTGTGTGCATTTGTTTTTGGTTTTTGTTTTTGTTTTGAATAGGGAACAACAGTATTAATTCTGCTTGTTATTATTATCAATCAACTTTGATATATATTTCATGCGTTTGTTTCATACATTCAACTACTGTTTAAACATTTTTCTACAATATTCAAACTTCTCTGTTTAAATCTATAAACCAAAGGGGCCATTGTTCTAGTAAGATTTTTGGAAAATAACGTGTATTATTTATTTTCTTCAAAAGATATAGGTAATATAAATGCTGAGAGACATAGGAAACAAGAAACTACAAAACGATGGAAATAAATGAGAGACCAATATTTCTGCAGATAAGGGGTGATATATGCATATAAGTAATTAATGAGAGACTCTGGCACTTATGTAGGACAGGGTTAATTATTACAACCCAAGTTGCAGCTTATGGAAATTAATGGCTAAGAAGTATGGTGTGTGTATACATGTGTCTAATTAATCAGAATTTTTACCCACAAAATTGACCTGCCAACTTAATTGCGTAGACAAGCTAGTTAAGTTTGTCCTCTCACCTCTGGAAACTGAGAAATGGTCCAAGCGACAAGTGACACATCAAATTGAAGGTTGTCGTCACACACACCTCTCAAGCAGCTTCAAAAATGCCATACCCCCTACGAACAGTGCATGCTAAAAATGTAACATCACCTGCGGTCATTTTAGAGATAAGGTTACATGTTATTTGCAACACATGAAGACAACAAATCTTTGGATTCATGGTTGTAACCATGGATTGTCGTGGCCTTATGGTTAACTAGTGGACGTTTGGTTCATAAATTCAGAATCATGATTCATAACTATTTTCGGTTTATGTTTGTTTTTTGTGAGAGAAAATATTGTAACGAGTCACAAACTATGATTCGAACCATAGCACGAATCCTCATACTAAACACCCCATAAATAAACTCCATAACTAGACTATTTTAATTGTTATATGTATGACGATCTATTAATCTTCACATGCATGTAAAAGTAGATCTTTGCGTCTGAATAGTAACTCAAGTGATGTTGAGTTATTCTAGAGTTTTATATTAATAATTTGGCACAGGTACGCGAACATACTAGCATGTCACATTTTTTATTTGTTAGATATGCATAAAATCACGTAAAAATTAAAAAATACATAAAATCAACAGTTAAAAAAATTTAACCTACCAGTACACCAGACGTATCACAAAAATCTCCCTAATAGTTTAAGTTTCACATATAAATTAGCCCAAGCGATGACAAATTACTTGTACCATCATACATGCATCTACATATATAGATAGTACATTGGTGCTCTGATTTACCAATACATTGTGCGTACTAGAGAATCTCCCTAATAATATATCTTAAAGTGTCAAATTTACATTCTAAAAAGTGTATTAGTCGGTGGCTCCAAAGAAAATGATCGTATTATATAAGGAGATTTTCTAGTACGTCTAACATATCGGTATGTCAAATTTTTTTAACCGTTAAATTTATATATCTTTTAACTTTTATTTAATTTTATATAGATTTAACGAACAAAAAATTTAACCTATTAATACGTTGGCGTACTAAAAAAAAGTCTCCTACATATATATTCTATTTTCTACAGAGACAGAAGGGAAGTCAACAATTTTGCAGGGAGGCAGTATCCACCGCAAGGTCCAAACTTCCTATTAATGAGTATTTAATACAAAGCAAAATAGCAAATAGTAAATACAATATTATTCCTTCCGTAGAGTCAGAAATGTTATTAGTTTATCATACTAATGATTAGGTTTAAATTACATTATATATTCCCCACACAAAGTCAGAAATGTCATAATTTAGAATACTAATGATTAGGTTTGTTGGAGATGCTTTTTCTCTCTGCGATTCATACCCACACGCTCTACTTGTTTCTTTTGCTTTGCTAGTTAATTGGTTAGACAAAATAAATAAATAAATAAATAAACCCTCCTTCTAAATAAAATAAAACGGATTAAGCACTTTATATATATATATATATATACACACACGACTAAAGTGAAAAATATTAAGGGATTGTTTGCTAAATATACTCAAAATTCAAACAATGATTCTTATACAGTATTTTTTTATAAAGAATTTAAATAAAAAAAAATTTCACTAATAATTCTCTCAAAAAAAAAAAAAAATTTAAAACTCAAGTGATAGTTTAAATACACTTTTTAAACGCGTCCTAAATAAATATAAATGTTGAATGCACGCATGAGTAAACCAGCTGATTAACGCGTTTCCAAGTTGCCATTGCCAACCCAAAAGGTGATATTGCTTCCGTATATATTACCAAAAGCAAATTGTTCCAGTCTGACAAGTATTAGTTTCGTGTACGTTTTGAAACTTTTTGGTTTATTCCCCACTTTTGTTGCGTTTTCGGTGTTTGATATATTTTGGCACCTTGTATGTATATATTGAACCCACTTTAATCTTATGCCAAGATTTGTAACGCCTTTTCATCAAAGCATAAAGCTTTGACAACCATGCATTCTCTCACCCTTATTGCGTACTAAAAGAAAAGAAAAAAAAAAAAAAAAAAAAAAAAAAAACATGTATGCCACAACCATAGTGGGACCCACACGAAACATTGCCTTGGAATCAAAATAGGTGAAACCCAAGTTTCTTGATCCGTGCCTTGAGCTTCTTTGTCGTCTGCTTCTGTTGTTTAGCAAGTTACCTAACTTTTATGGTTGATTTTTCACTATTATCAACTCGTTGAAAGGGGAAAAAAGAACCACAAAAAAAAAAAAAAAAAAAAAAAAAAAGAAAAATTCTGGGGAAAAAAAAAAAAAAAAAAAAACAAAAGAGAGAGAATTCTGCGGTAATAGATAAAAAAAAAAAAAAAAAACCACACTTATAAGGGAGTTTGTTTCAAATTGTCATATTTGTATACATTATATCAGTTTTACACGATTTTTTTATTTTAATGTGATTTGTATTGGATCTACCCATTCGAAAAACTTACGCTTATAGTAGAAGGTGTAAAAAAATACCTCAAACAGAAAAAAAAAAAAAAAAAAAAATTCACAAATTACCGTTTGGTTGGAAGATTCAAACCATGTAATTCAAACCATTTTCGATTTACGTGAATTTTTTGTGAGAAAAAATACTATAACGAATCATGAATCATGATTCGAATCAGGAAACGAATCTCTCTACCAAACATCCAAGGAAGAAAAGAGGAGGAGCCTAAAGAAATTGAGGATTTGAGCTGACTTGGAGAGTGAGAAAATAACTCACGGTCTTTTCCCCTTTATAACAAAGCACATGACTGTGTTTTACTGCTGCTTATAATTTTTTTTTTTTTCCCTTTCTTTTAAGAGAATGGTTGGTGGCTTGCGTTTACTTTCTCCAAGTAAAAACAACAAGTACGTTCATATAATACATTTGCACTTGATTTTGTGCATTATTGTTAGTCATTCCAGTAACAGTGTGAATGGGCAGTTTGTTTCCAATTGGATAAGTTCATATTCAGTGGGATTCCCAACTAGCCACAACACTCAACGTTGTTCAGTTTTTATTGGGTGAGAATTGTTTGGAAAGAACACAAAATTAACAACCGGATTCCATGTGAGAGAGAGAGAGAGTACAAACACAAATCTAGGTTTACGGATTGCAGTGGAAAAGGTTTTAATACCAAAAAAAAAAAAAAAGTAATTTTTGGAAGGAAATATGGATATTTCATTACCATATTTGAAAGGAATCGTTAAATACTTTTCTGGTAATTTCATGACAAATTTAAAAATTATTTTTTATGGTCTGTTTAATTCGTTGATTTGAGTTTTTAATTAGAGTTGAGATGTTATTTTATATGAAAATTTTTTACTATAAGAAAAATAAATAAATAAATAAATTTAACTATTTCTGAGAACTTATAACAAAATTTAAATTCTAAATTCGAATCAATAAAATAACAGAGAAGATTTTTATATTGCTGATTTGTAATTTTGAGTAATAAACATACGTACGAGTTTATTAGCTTGACAAGTGTCTTATTGATAGGTTTTCTCTACTACAAAAAGTCTCTTCCCAATTTCCATAATGTACGGAAAGGAAGCTAAAAAAAAATTCTAGACTGAAAGAAATATCTTGTTTAGGAAAATATAGCAATAAACGAATAAAAACTCTACCATTTTTTTAACGGTGAGCATGATTTTGATGCCTGTTTTAGTACGTTCAAAAAAAAAAATTTTTCTTCAGAATGGATATAAGAACCTGATCCATAAGATCTACTGCTTGAGTATGGATTAAGAAGGGAACATTTATTTGCTAGGTTAAGTTCCATATTTAATCCTTAAATTATAGCAAAATCTCATTTTGATAGTTGATTTTTAAAATTGTCGAGAATGAAACCTTAAACTACTTAGGTCATCTTTGGGGAGCTTTTTAAAAGTTATTATTGGTTTTATGGTTTCAAAATATGTTTTTAAAAGTGTTTAAATGATTTGTTAAAAGTGTTTGATTTTTTAAAAGAACTTTCAGTGAAAATCACAATTAGTTTTCCAAAACTAAAATCTCGATGGGAAAGAGACACAATGTCTTTTTT